CCTTTACCTTCACTACTTCTACTCCTTTCATCTACACTGTCTCGCTCCCCTGTCATCTGTCTCGCTCTTATTCACTCACATGTATTATGTCTTGCTTTTCTTGACCTTCAGTCTTCTCTCCAGAACATTCATCCACCTCATCAGGCTCTCCTTCACCTGCTTCCCACTCTCACTAAAGTTATAGGATGTTTACAGATGGCACTATAAATCCACTGTAGTCTAACTCAACATTAGCACTTCAAATACTAATTAAAGAGTGTTATACATGACAACATACTACATACTAGATGGTAGATTATCCTTGCAGACTAGTTACTTACATGTTTACTGTTGTCTCCAGTACAGGTAGGACCACTGACTTCTTCCTTTGCATTATCCAAGGGGGTGCAAGGCTCTCCGTCTCCAGCTGATGCGCTCATACTGGACATACAAAGATCTAATTCACCAAACAACTCCGATTTAATAAACAAATAACATGTCCATGGCTTCGACAAACCGTGGACCGTCTATACATCAGTCGAATAACGAATGAGGTAAGTCAACATATTGGCAAAGTTAGTTAGCTTGACAAGCTAGCTCCTCGATAAAGAAACGCTGGCACGTAAAGCTGTAAAATGGAAGTTTCACTAGACTAATTAAACCTAAACGACACGAAGGCGAACAGTTTTCCTTGCTTTGTAAACGACTAATGTTTAGCTCTTAGCTCCGTGACTACTTACACAAGCCTGTAGCCTGCAGCCAGTCTATTGACAGAGCAGTCGCAAGCGCTAGCAATAAGCCAACAACAACTTCCTGTTTCAAGGCAAAAAGAGTTACAAAACTAATTTTATCAGTTGTTTCGAAGAATAAAACTTTTCAATAATAATAACATCTTTACATTTACATTTTAAAGCTATAACTTTAGATATTTGTTTTAGTAAAGGAAAAATATTTTATCTGAAACGATTTATTGTGAAAAATAGATGAACCGGAAGTGTTTTCATAAGTTCTTTCTGGAAAAGTGGAGCACATTCTTCTGATACCTTTTATTCTGAAATTCCCTGTTCACACCATTGTTTTTAATTTAACGTGAGCTTTGCATGTGGTGTGACTTTTCTCTTTTTAAACAATTTGATTCAGTGTGAGGTACGCAAACAATTCCAGTGCAAACCTGTAAAAAGTTGTGATACTTTTTTAAATATGTAAAAAAGCATCTCAAACAAAAGCATTTAGGTGCAGGGATATTTTTTTTTATAAATTATGAGATGATAAGTCATGAAAATATTAGCAGTGGAGGGACAATTTAAGCATCTAAGTAATTATTATATTCGAGTACTAATGTTTCTGCTGTTCATAATATAATATAATATAATAGGGATCCTTGTAAGAATGTCTAGCCAGTAGCGGAATGTCAAGCTGATGAGTGAAAAGGGAGGAGCTGTGAAACTTTGCTGAGTCCATTTAATTCCTGCGTGGATGACACAGACTTCATGTGAGGGCAGAAGACGCTGTGATCCAGCTGCTTTAGTATAGTCTATACTGGATGCGCAAACGTGACAGGTTTTTCCTTAAAGTGTCCATTATAATGGGAAGTTGGAAGAATCACGTGCGCCAAGGGCTGCAGCATAGAGACCACAGAGAAAAGCTCCCGTTTGTTGGCGTTTTCACAAGCTGTAAGATTAACTTTTCTCTGCCTCTCTTGATGTTGTCCTCTCTATCAGAGCCTAAGGACGTCTGCCTGTTTTCTTTTAGTGTCTCAGCTGGAGGAACGCTTTGAACTTCGCGACGAGATTTTGGCTGATGTTCAGTCTCAGAGGTTAGAAATGCAGAATTTAACTTACCTTACATCTGGCGCTTGCGCTGATCGGTTTGTCCTGTGCTTGATTTTTTTTTTTTTGTAAAGTATTTTAAATCTGCACACTTGTTTTTATTTTCAGTTTAGAAAGACATGGATTTGAGGTTGGGGGAAACGCCACACTGCTTCGACTCCGGCTGAGAGAGAGTGAGCACCTGGTAGATAAGGTGAGTTAAATGAGGAGTAATCCAATGATTAAACGCCCCAGCGGCTCAAACTTTCTACTACAGGGAAGACGTTTACGTAAAATGCAGAGCAGCATATTTGCATTGATATGCATGAACACCACATCTGACAATATGAAACAACTTTCAGAGCATTTGACCTTTATTTTAAAAAATGAATAAATAAATAAACATTCATTATTGCAACTGGTTCAGAGGAGTGGAGAAAATACTTTAATAATCATCTTTAATGGGTGTGTGCTGTTGTCTGCTTTTGATCTGGGTCACTTCATCCTTTGTTTTGCCTACCCAGTTATCTCAAACTGTCTCCGACCTTACCACCGTCCTCCATCTCAAAGAAGATGAAGTACAGTACTGGCAATCACGGTAATTCAAATACCTTGGTTAGTACTGACTATGATTCCAAGATTGAAAAAACACACTAGGTGACACAGACAATGTAAAAGCAACACATGATGGACCAGATTGAGGAAAGTGTTAATTCACGGTATATTTCAGATCTAGTAAAGGTATTTTTCAAATTGAGTTTCCCCATAATTAGTCAATATGTTGCCAATTAATCCTAGAGTAGTAAACAGTTAATTTGGTCATATAATAAATGTATTTTATATTCGTAGGAATACTGAACCACTGAAATAAAGAAGTATAATTTTCCAGGTTAGGCCGATTGTTGGGATTTTGTATTCAGAATATAAGGGATCAGTTCGTCACCATTATAATACTTTGCTGTTACAGTGTGTCTCAGTTCCATCAAGAGGCACTTACTCTGGCTAAAGGGAGTAACACCCTGAAGGAAGCCCTTTCAGAATATGAGTTCACCATAGAGTGCCAATCCAAAGAGTTAGCAGCCCTGCGTGTGGATCAGCAGTGCCTAAAGGAAGCTCTTGCAGATGCACTGAGAGAGAAAGAACGGCTATTACAGCGATGGATGGAGGAGAAAATAAAGGAAGCGGACAGGCTGAATAATTACAACATCACTCAGGCAAGGTGAGATAATGAATTCAGGAGTTTCTGTGTGACTTGCAAAGCTCAAAAATTTAAATATGTTAACTTTATATGATAGCATGGTCACACTTTAAAGCTTAAAAGTTGTCTGGGACTGCTCCCTTTTACCAGGTGGCAACATTTGACCAAACATCTGAAGAAGCACCTCCAGAAAGGTGTGGGGAAAGAGCATGAGCCCACGCCGACCAATTCTTCAAGTGATGCAGCACAGTCCACATCAGCCATTCAGAGTAAGAATCTGCATATAGATATTAACACACATTAGATGCAAACAAATGGCTGACTTTTAGGCCGTCCTTTTTGCTCTTTAAATTAAGAAGCTTTAGGTCGTAGGTTAAAGACAAGTGTGTCTTAGTGGTGAGCTGGTAATATGATACACAAAAGGCTAATGAAAAAATGAGACAATAGTGCAAAATGATATTTTTTTGTTTGTTTGCTTTTAACCATCTAACTAGATAGCAGTGGCAACTTCATAAGAGTTACAGTACATGAAGTACTGAATATGAACTCTTGGACCCAGCTACTAATAAAACCTAATGGTAGTTAAGGATTTAATAGGAAATTCATATGCAACCACTTTGATATAATGCTATTTTTGAGCAAGATTTTTTTTTCCAATTCAATTTATTTATATAGCACTCTTCACAGCATAAAAACTACAAAGTCCTTTACAGTAAAATAAAAACAGATAAACAAAAAAAATAGCACAATCAAACATTCAGCACAAATCTAATTAAAAGCCAGTCTAAATAAATGAGTCTTAAGCTGCTTTTTAAAAGAATAAATGCAATCAATGCAATGTAATGATGGAGGGAGAGCATTCCACAACCTGGAGGCCACCGCTCTAAAAGATCTCTCTCCTCTGGTCTTAAAACATGTTCGTGGGACTAGCAGCAGCCTTTGATTAGATGATCTCAGGCTGCAAGAGGGAGCGTGGGGTTCTAACAGATCAGAAATATAGGCAGGGGCATCACAATTCAAAACTTTAAAAGTCAGTACCAAGATTTTAAAATGAATTCTAAAATGTATGAATGTTGCAATAATAGCGAATACATCAAAGTCTTTTTTTCCCCTCACCACTTTAATCTACAGCTCAAGACCTTTAATTCAATGTTTGGTCAAAAGAATCAGTGGTAATTGTTTTGTGTCTGCCTATCTTGTCCTCAGGGATCAATAATCCAACAGATATGCACAGTGGACTCCCAGACCAGTGTCATATCTCAGGTCCACCACAGGCCTAATATTCCCTTCAGATCGCAGGGAGAACACTTTTTTTTTTCTCCCCAGTGCTTATAGATGAAATCATGACATAAATAATGAAAATGTAGTTTGTTTTTCTTTGCAAATGTTAGGACAAATTGCTCACATGGATCTATTTTTATTATTTATCTAAAAATATATTTAAAGATCCACTATACTATGCAAATTTGTTTGTGACGTATAGTTAGAGTGCCTAGTTTCACATCACAAGTCACCCTGAAGTTTAGCTGATCACATGTGGACATCGTCTTCATGATCAATGCATCAAACCCTTCCGGTTCTACAATTATTATTCTTTTAATCAGTTAACCTTTGAAACAACTTCATATAGTTTTCAGTTGTTGTTTTTTTTTTAACATTTTAATTACTGTTCAACGAATTAAACATTTAGTAATTTTGAAAAATCAAGCTCAGTGTTAGTTTACTGCACACTCTTGTATGTAATTATGTGTTACTGTCTTCTTTATCACCTGTAAAAGAAAATAAAGAGACTGTTTAAAAAAAATCCCCTCTCCTGAACAAAGACTATTATTTTAAACATTGCATGTTGTATTCCTTAACTGATTAAATATTAAATACTAAGAATTTCATTGTGGTGTATTTCTCATTCTGTTTGATTACAAATCTGAAATATTTCAAAATGTTTTGGGGTTGTTTTTTGTTTTGTTTTAATCATCAGAATTCAGTTTCTGATCTCTAGGATCTGATTGCAGTTTGTTTGCTGCCTGTTTCCATGGTCACCAGTGTTGGCATTAGTAGTTAAGTTGCACAGTGTGTGGAGTGCGTGTTTGGTTTTACTGATTGTGGTCTAAACGCCTCAAGCTGTAGTGGAAAAATGGTAAAAGGCGGAAAGCGGCATTTTTCAGTGAGCACTGATTGCAAATGGGTAAGAAGTCTTCATTTCATTGGTTTAATTAAATCATAGCATTCTAAACCTAGATGTGTAATTAGGTTTTCTTTCATTTTGTTCCCAGTTTGCTCATCCAGGTTTATCAGAAAATGAGACAAAGACTGGAGAGAACTGTACAAGCACTGAGATCATGCTGACTCAAGTGAAGTCATCGTTGCCTCAGGCTTTAAACTTTCAACGCTATCCTAAATGGAAAAGTCAGCAGGTGTGTATGTAGATAAGGCATGGCCTTACTGCTTTTAATATCATAGTCACTGCCAGTGGCCTTGATAGTTTTTCTTGGACTTGCTATCACAGTTCTGTATTTAGTTGCTCTCCCAGTATGAGTTTTATGGGTTAACTTGCAGAAATCCAGAGAGTATCCCTTCTCAGACCATGACAACAAGCACGCCTTAAAAGACGACGTCATTGTATTCTCTCATGTAAGTATGTAGTGAAAGGTTCAAGGTTTTGCTGAACACGAGATTCACCACATTATACCTTTAAAGGGGGACCGTGTCTATTCTATGTTGATGTACTTCAGAGTGTGGGAAGGAGGAAGTGTCTTGATGATCGCAGACAGCATATCTCCCGTTTCTGCCTGTGCCATGGTGGAACTGACAATAGCACCAAAGAGACTCGAGGGAACGCCACAGCCTACCAGAGTGACTTCATAGTGAAGGAGGTTGTTGACTCTGCATCCAGAAACCGGCGCTTCCCTCACAACCACAGGCAGAAGTCTGCAGAGGCAGCTTTGGCACAGGCGGGGGAGACGTTTATGTGGTTCGGACGAGACGATTCTGACCAGTCTGACACCCTGCAAGTGCTGGCAGCTACCAACTGCTCAACACCATCCAAGCCTTAAGATATTCTTACATTTAATGCCCAGATGGCATCATTAGGGGGCCATAGCATGCACAGAGCTTCCTTCACTTGCATATGAGCTGTAATCCATTAAAAATTGTGAACCAAGATTTATCCCACAGCATACTCAATATCAAATGTTCCAAGATTGGAAAAAGCATTAACATAGTTTAAGTAACATTTATTGCATAGAAACTATGCAAAGTGATTACTTTCAAAGTTTAGAACCTGCAAAAACTACTTCAATACTTTTGCTAGTACTTAAGTGATTTTATCTCTGTATTTCTAATATTGTAAGGCTGGTGATAAAATGATCAGAATCAACGGCAGGTACTTTTTGTATCTCAACTGTTGAGAGTTCAGTCAGCCTCAGGCAGAAGAATGAACTATCAGCTAATGTTTACTCTATTAAATATGCCAAAGTTGCTACAAACATTTCATAAACGCAATATAGCAATGTAGCACAATGTTATTTGAACTCAAGTTAGCATACTCTGAGTTAACGTAGCTATGGATGCATCTGAACATCAGTGTGCACAGGCCTGATTTGAGTGCCACTATTAGTCTACGTGAGGACTGTTGGTGGTTCACAGTTTTGCCAGCAGAGGGCAGCAGGGTTACATGAGCCATTTGGCCTGCCTAGCCAGTGAGTTGTTCATTGTTCAAGGGCCAAGTTGTATGAAAAATGTAATAGCCACAAAACCCCTGTGTAATATGCATGTTCTGTGAGAGAAAATGTGGGAGGGGGGGGGAGGAATAATTAGAAAAATGATCCTGCTATTTTTATTCAATACATATCAACATGGAGATATTCAATTAGAGCATGCGAAATAAATTAAGTTTGATTTGAGTCATAATGCATGGGCTTGTTTCACCCCAGGGGATGAAAAGGATGGATATGTGTGTGTGCAGCCCATAAAGAGAGAGGAGGAAGCGTGGGAGCCAATGACAGCGAGCACTGCTCAGAGAAAAGCACTTAAGTGAAGAGTGTCCCCGACCACTCTCTCCAATAGCTGATGTTTTCTCCAGAGCATGCTCTGACCAGCTGCTTTCTTTCTTTAAATACTCACCGGGGAGATGGATTTTTCTCACAAGCTTTCTTTCAGCTGTTGTAATTAGCTGATCCACATACCATGCTGACCTTGTAGGCGTTTGTTTCACTTTTAAAAGGTGAAGCAGACCTCAGTGTTTTCTCAGACAAGATGGCTGAGAGATGTTTGTGTGAATCAGTGGGCCTTTTGCGATTTCACTTTGAGATTATCTGGCACATCGCCGTCAGAAAAAACGATCCCCTGATGCAGGTGCACAATTAGGAGGGGGATGTATGATGAGGAGATTACTTTTGATGGTTTCCAGGTCTGTTTTAACCCTATTTCTGCCATGTCACTGAGACAACAGCCTGGAGCATTTTGCTATTTTGCCTAAACTATTGTCAAACATTTTGTGAAGGCCAGCAGTGTTGCTGATGAGAGAGAAAGAAGCTCTTATTAAGGAAAAACACCTGTGCTCTGGTTTGACGGTTGGTTGTTCCTGGTCTCGACTGGTTGTCTGGCACCTCTGTCCCTGTGGGTGCATTTCGCAGACTGCACTTTTCTTTGGACTTGCCACAACTTGAACAACTCCTCCGCACAGAAGCCACCAACACTTCAAAATCAGAAAGTCTCATTAGCTCTGTCAGAAGAGCAGTAAGGCTTTTAATACTCGACAGAAGAGTGAGAACGCTGAAATAACATGCCAATCATTAGTCGTGTCAGGCCGTGCGTACTGTATGTGCCATGTTTAGTGTGTTACTGCATGCCTGTTACATCACGTAGCCGGCAAGTATATGTAAATACAGTTGAATGGTAGAAAATCAATCCTTCTCCCAAGGACAAAAGGCACATCTCAGTAAACAAGCATTCAACCACCAAAGCCTTGCACTTCATGAATATTAAATCAGTCACTTTGAATCCTACCTCTTTGGTGTTGGTGGAGGCCCTAGTCTGGATTCTTACCATTTGCTGTGATTTATTCACAGGTGCATGTGTCTCTTTGATGTGTTGAGTTGAGAGGTTTTGCACCTGTTAGAGAAAAAAAAATGCTTTGAAAACAAGAGGTGGATTTGCCAGACAGTCAAAATAACAGCAACAGAAGGAAGATTTGTGTTGCCATGGTACATTGTGTGCGTGTATGCTTGTGTGCTTGTGTGTTTTCTTTCCAAAAAAAAGGCTGCTGCGCTGTTTTGACACATTCTGTTGTGTGCAGCAAAATTGGTTTTTGTCAAACAAGATCTACCTTCCTTTTTTTGTAAATCCCACATCAGTTTTGGCATCCGTTCTGACATTATGAAGTTGTGCATTTTTCATTTTGTGCATTACCTATTCATTAAAGATGTAACTTGAAAGAGAGTTGCTATGGAGATGCTGCGGTTAAATCGCATATCTCAAAGATTTTTTATTTCTGTTTATTCTTTTGCCAATTATAACTACGTCTAGCTATCTTGACTTCTTTCGATTTTTCACCCCACTTTCAATATCTTTTTTGATACGATGTCAAGGCTCACAGTAGGACTTTTCCTTATGCCTAACACTTAATCTTGTTCAAACACTCAGCACATAGTCTAAACAGCAACTATAGAGTCCAAAAGTCTTTCGAATTGGCTGGGTTAAACTACACCCAAACTTTAAGACTCCTTCCAATCTCCTGTCAGTCATTTCTCTTGCAGTGCTTCCAATTCCCTGGCAGTGTTATTTTTTTCAGCAGCCAGTTGGTTGGTGTCCCCTGGCAGCCTTAGTGGTCCTTGTTGCAGTAACGGTCAGGGGCCCTCCTGAGTCTGAGGGTGGTGATAAAGGTGGCTGGCTATCTCATTTCCACAGAGGACTAGATAACATCCTGAGAACATTCCCATCACTTGAAGAGTTTGTTCAGTTGAGATAAGAGTTCCCCTGCTAAAACCCAGCTGGGAAGCTCTGTGTTTGCCTGAGTGTGTGTGTCTTTGCACTGTGCATGTGTGCCTTAACAGAGTACTTTGGAGCATGTTAGCTGCAGTTCTTTTCTGTGCTGCAGCTGTGAGGTCCGCCAGGCTCCGATCGAGACGCTGCCTCAAAAGATCAGGCCTATCCTTGCATTAAATCACATTCCCCCATGCATTTTTCAAACCTCCGACAAGGCTTGCATGTTAATTTGTGCGTAGGTGGTGAGAATAATTACATTAGCCTGGTTGTAAACAAAGACCTACAAGCAGCAGTCTGTTCAAGTATCCCACCAGAGAAAGAACAAGCAAGTAGTTTATACAAGGATGGATGAATTTATAATGCATGCTTTACATGAAGGCATTCATAGCTGTTGTATCTGTAATTAAATAGCAACATGAAGAAAAATGAGCTGTTTTTCAAGCAAAATAAGCCTTATGCATTCTTGATTTTTTGTCTTTTGTTATATATTTAAAATAAGGGGAAACAATGCACAAACCACAGAGGATAGTTTTCTTCAGAAACACACTTTTATAGCCCCAAAAGCTTTGACTCGATTGCTGCATGTGCACAATGTTACCAAGTGTTTCATCACTGCTTAAGAAGCTCCACCTCTTAGTTCCACCACACTGCTCCTTCATAACCACATTTTAATCTCATTAGTAAAAGGCATAATGCAATGTACAGAACCAGAGATAGGCCACACACACACATCCAAGAGTGCTTATGCAGTGTTTCATACTTGAACAAAAGGGGGTCATTCATACAGGAAGCTGATCAAAAATATGTCAACAAGTGAAGGCTGCCTCAGTCTTCTCATAGGAAGAGCAAAGTGACACAGCTAAAATACGGAGATTCTATTTTCTGCTCCGACAGAGAGCCTGTGTAACTTCCTGCTTTCAGCCCCGCCGCATACTGTATGTAACTGTTTATATAGTCAGCCCTGAAAACTGCTTCAACATCTCATAATCACAGCATTCTATTTCCTGCTGCAGACCTCACAACAAGTCTAATTAACCGTTTTCACACTTATTTTCCAGTCAAACGGGTAAATCTGCCTCATTTGCATTCTATTGAAGGCATAAATATGAGGCAATGAAGGCATTCTTATGTCCGTTAACAGATATGACAGAAGCCTTAATGCAGAGAAATATAATTAGATGTGAGTGTGGCCATTGTTATTATCATGAGATTTTGTGCCATCTAAAAAGCACAAACTGCTTCACTGTGTGTCTACTAAGTGTACAATGGCATATTCCCATGAATCTGACATTATTATCAAATGTAAATTACACTGCCATGAGCCGCTCATTACAATGTGTGGAATGTGTCACAAGTTGTTAAAATCTCAATTTAACATGATCTCCACATTTTAGCTGTGGATAAAGTCTTCTAGTGGTGAAGTTGAACTTAAATTAAATGCACTTCTCCTCCTCGGGAAGGACGAAAGATGTAAATGATGTAGCCAGTGTAAAAGTAGCGGAGTTATGCACACTGATTTATACAAGGTTATTTTTGAATAGCAACATATTGGATGCATGGACTGAATGAATAAAGATCTTCACAGTTTATGTTGATATTAGAAGACATATAAATCAAAAGAGCCAAGTATTATAGTACGCACACGGCATCAAGAGCCAGTAAAAGGAAATGCTATGCAATAAGGTGATTTAAGCATGAGAGACTGAGTCAAGGTTGCAGTGAAATATTCATTCAAATGAGGTAAAGAGTGAAGCAGCATAAGAATAACCCGCCTTTAAAGATTAACATAACCCTTGGAGGTGTTATTGTATCCCCATAACCAAGTCAGAATTCAGCAGGTGCAGAACAGCTCTCCCTCTCTTTGAGTTACTGCATTAAGTCCCTCAAATTTAGTAGCACAATCATGAGCCTCCCGTTCACTCTCTGGAGTAGAAGAATCGCTTTGCATTTTAAAAAGGTCAAACACTCAGATCTCTGCCAGGAGGAACTGAGGGAAGAAATAATGTCTCTCTGCAGAAATATGCAGTCGCACACCACTGATCCTCTCCAATACCCACTGTACAGTGAATAGATTATAACTGTGTGTGTGTGTGTGTGTGTGTGTGTGTGTGTGTGTGTGTGTGTGTGTGTGTGTGTGTGTGTGTTGACTGACATCCTCTAACAACTACTGTATAAACAAAAGCAAATCATAATATTGTATCAAACCAAATGTGGTGAATATTTCAATAATGTGGAAGATAGCACTGATCAATTTTTCTACAATTAGACATATTCAATTATTGTAAATATATAAATAGTGCATTTGTACTCTATGAGCCGCATCCACTCATTCACAACGCATTTTATATATCCTTTACACACTTTTTTTACCTATCATGCATTCACATACAGACAAATGCATCAGAGGCTTCAGTATGTTGCCCAAGGACACTTTGATATGCAGACTGGAGGAGCCGTGGATCGAACCACACAGTTGCACAGTTCCTAATGGTTGTTTTTACTTTCAGATGTGCTTTGGCAAATAAAGCCTTTGCATATTTGTTTTTACAGCAAGGGCTTTAACTATGTAAACTGCAGTAAACACAAAAGAGGATCAGCTCATGATTAGCAAACATTGCATTTTGCAGGATTTAATTTGTCACAAAAAAGCTGATTTTAATCACCCTTTGCCTTCAAAATGACACAGAGATAACAGATGATGCTGCCACATATGTCTAATAAAAGCACATTAATGTATGGGTCTTACATACTTCATTACGCATGTCATTTGATATCATTAAATGATGTAATATGTCATTAGCTTCTAAATATATTTGTGGCTAACAAATACTCTCTGTTTCTTTATCCTCCCTTCCCCTCTTTTTGCGCTGTGAACATATGCTTCTATTGGTGTCCCTTGTTGGCTAGTGATAGTCTTTGGAGTGTTTGGGTTTCTGCCCAGTAGTTACATTGTGCCGGAGACAAGATGACCACAGGGAAGGATGGTCTCAGGACAGGGCCAAAACCCCCCAGGCCTGGGACCACACATGCAGGATACATGGTACAGCAGATACAAACAGAAAGTATGGAAATGATTCGTCTGCTGCTTGAGGTGGTTTTCTTTGTCTTTGTGGAAAGCTCTACTGGACGTGCTGGAAAACTATGCAGAGACTGAAGTGACTGGGAAATCCAACCATGCTCTCCGCCATCTGTGCCGTGTTATATGGCTGGCACTAATGTGTGAGTGAATCGAGGGTCTAAAATAATTGTACTGCAGGGACTGGAACTAAAAAGGAATATACGCTGCATGTTTTGACATGAAAGAACAGCTGCAGTTGGTGCTATCTGCACCTGTGACACAAAGAACAAAAATCTTTGCATTTCACATATCTATCACATCATATAACACTAAATTACAAGTTTCTTTACTTAATTGTTGGCCCAGAGCTGATATCAACTATGTGTAAGCTAATATGTTTATGGATTTCAGATAAAAACAAAAGGAGGCAGCTTAATATGAAATGTGGTTAACCTGACAGTTAATCAAAATGTTGTTTAAATAAGATTGGTTTTAAACTGCACTTCACGGACAAAGAGAATGGTGAAGCTTATCTCAAGTGATCAATCAGTATTATGCTAATGCCTACAGCTAAATGTGTTTAAATAGTGTAAAAGGGGTTATGTAATATAATACGGGTGATACTTCTGACCTGCACATTAAGCAGTTGAGCTAGAATACATTTATCAATTTCATGGATGGTATTTGGGCATTTGGCTAATCTTATTGTATGTTAATAGGTCTAATTTATATATTCTTTTTATTTAATTCAAATTAATTAATTTAATTCAAAGTCTTAGCTGTCAGCCATATTTTATATAACATGGAAAAGCACCATAGGTTATGGCTAATGCTAGTTATGTGAGTTAAACATTATCTGGCAAACTACTGACATAACATAACATGTTGTATTATGTTAGTTTTAGAATTTAGGCATCAGATAGTATTTTGACAAGTGTTAGCTCGGGTTTGCTAACTTTTTTAAAGTTTGTTTTTATATGAGAATACTTTTAAATTCAAGTAGGCTGTTATTATTAGAAAGCTTGGCTAGCATGATTAGCATAATTGAAGTACACTCAGCATTAGGGTTATGGACATGCCCTGGGGTTCCAGAACCATCCAAAAAGGTCACTGTGCTTCCTCAGCTGAATCCTACTGACATACTTTTACAACTATAAGTAAAATATAACCAATCAGTTGTTTCAGCAATAATAATTCAATTCAATTCAATTTTATTTATATAGCGCCAAATCACAACAAAAGTCGCCTCAAGGCGCTTTAATTATTTAGTTAATAGTAGCTTAAAGTATCTGCACCACCATGACTGAGGACACTGATTTTAGAGTGCATGGGCTTATGCAGTATAACACAGGTGACAGTTTAAACCTGCACATAAGCATCTGAGTTAAAATTCCATGTATTAATTTTATTGGTGGTATTTGGCTAATAATAGTATATGTATGTTATTATTTTCTTTTTTTACTTAGTTAAAATCCCCCAGTTAAGCAGTACTCAAGTGCTAGCCATGAAGCACATTTTACATTACACCATCTAAAAGCACCATCTGGGTGGGTAAGCTAATGTTAGGTCTGCTAGTTGAATTTTGGCAAATTACTAGCATAACAATTTAGAAATTTGGGCCATATTATATATTTTTTTTGTAGAATATAATTCTGTTTTTGATTAAATATCTGTGCAGTGTGTGACCATCTTAGAATATACTAATAGTATATACTATTACTTTAAAAATTATATATACTAACAGGCTGTTAGTTTTGTCAGTTAGTTGTTATGTGGCTAACACTGTTAGCATTATCCAGGCATGTTGTATTATGTTATTTTGAGCATATTATATATATATATATATATATATATATATATATGATTACCAAGTCTGGCATAATTGAGATACACTCAGCATTACTAGGAGCATACTGTGGATTTATGGCTATTATGGATAACAGGTCATGATCATGATAGATTGCTTATGCTTCATTTTGTTTGTGTAGGCTGTAAAGGTGAGGCATTAATGTCTGTTCATTTTATTTATTTATTTTTAGGGTAACAAAATAGCAATGTGAGTTGAACCTAACACTTGCTTATCCTGTCTATCTGCTCAGACTAAAACCCTGTGCACACTAATAAGCTGTACTTAAATTAGTATTAGAGACACTGTATCGATTTGTATATATTGTCTCTGTACTGGTCGGAGAAGATATTACAAGGATTCATTGCTGCATCTCAATTCAGACGTTCAATAAATAAGTTTGAAAGGAGCTGGTGGTAAGAAGACAAGAGTTTTCAGACAAACCATACAAACAACAAAGAAAAAGACAATGAATACAACCCCCCCCCCCCCCCCAAACATATTTAACTGTAGTAACCGAGGCTTAACATTACGAAGGAAAATGTACTGAATAATAGTCGAGTCTGAATCGCCTTTCTCGAAAATTCCTACTGTCCCATCTATATCAACTGGAAGGAGAGCCTCTCATCTGTGCTGTGCGCGCGCGGGCCCGCGTGTAGAGTGTAGAGTGTGTGTGTGTGTGTGTGTGAGGGAGAAGTGGGCAAAGGCTCCGCCTCACTCAAAAAGCGAGAGGGGAAAAAAAGGAAAAGCAAACTGATACACACCTCTCAATTCTGGCAGGAGGAAAAGAATAGGAGTGTTTATGAACCGTATAAGTAAACAGCAGGATAACCAGGCACACCGAGAGCCGAGGCTACTTCCCCCCGTAAAAACCGACACCAGGCACCGTTTCCCTGCGCCGGAGATTGTCCCGTTGCGTTCAGGATTAAGTTTTTATGTCATCTAAAGGTGGATCATTATCTAAATCCGAGATAACAAGCGAATTTGAAATGCGTAGCCTGCGATGCTATTTCTGGAGCCCCCAAAGCCGACGTTTGAACTCTCAGTAAACATCCAGTCGAGGTAGGATTCAAGATTATTGCAAAGGTGGTGTAAAATATGTCGGTGTGTGCTCCACCGGGGTATAGTTTTGAAAGCTATACTCGCATCGCTGTCCATGTGTCCCTGCGCCATCAGCAAGGAGAGACAAGGGAGGGTGGGAGTAGACATTAGCCGATACTCCACTTCATAGTGATGTGGAAATTGGCTTTATTAAGTTCCTAATGAGGCTGGGCAATTAAAAGGTAACGGTGAACATCCATTAAACGTCCAATCAAGATCAGCTATGAGTGCTTTAAATAAAATTTAAAAAATTGCATTGATAGATTTTTTTTTTTTTTCATTTTTCATCCGAAACCAGGAAGAACATGCACGGAAGGAGTTTGATTAAAAGTTTAGTACTGGTGCAGGCCTATTTTGCAGTTCTTCCTGGCATCAGTTTGGACATCTCTAATCAGCTGTAGCATACTAATTAGTGAGTGCCAAATAAGTTAATCACTCATTCAGATATCTATATGAGCATCTGCACATTTTCACACAGAGGATGGTCCTTCTATTTCTTAATTTTGAGAAGCACAGAGTAGGCACTGATTCTCATAACTCTCACTCCCCTTTCTTTTCTTT